TAGAAAGTTGAAATTTTAAAGGGAATGTTTTCTGACAGTTCTGGTGGCCAGTCTTAATTTGTTTATATAGAAGCATTTGCCGAAAAAACCGGTGCCGGCAGCAACAAAAACTGCGGGGAACCACGCAAAAAACGCATCTTCGCAGGGGCAGCCCGTGCGTTGGCCAATTTTTTCTTCTGCCAAGTTTCCCTCAGTCTCCTTTCCTTCTCACATTTCTCGTCTAATTTTTTGCATCACAACTGCAACAATAATTATCGTTTGTACTATTATTGTCCTATTATAGTCATTACTATTTTCATTACTATTACCATTCATTCATATCTTCCACACTGGCAGTGTTTCTGGCCTACTACATCGAAACAACGCTAGTGCCTTTAGACAATGGCCCAATCCGTATTTCTAAGGGAGGAGGGTTTTTTTGCGGACAACATTGATTTTGACATTTTAATATAGAAAGAAGGTATGCCACCGTAAAAATAACGAAATACTAGTAACAAAAATATGCCCAGCGAAAAATGCGCGAAAATTCCGACATAATGCCCATGCTGCGATTACATTCCCATTGCAGACTGATAATATTACATGCTCACTCCGAAAATGAGAACCACCCGCCCTATCGCTACGCCATTGCTTTTGAGACCAAGTGACTTTTCGCTTCAAACAAGCCTCCCCTTATACACCAATAACTTTTTTGAAGTTTTTCATGCAATAGTATCAACATCGCTTTTTGAAACTAACAAGAGAAATATAACTTAGTAGTAACAAGTGCAATAAATTTAGTTACTCAACCTTTTCCCTACTGAAAATTGATTTTCTGTAGAACTAAACAAGGCAGTAACCATGCGTTTTTGCATATACACAAAAACACATATTGTGTCGAACCCGGTGTGTGTGTGTGTGTCTGTGTGTGTGCGTCTGTCCGGGTATTTCAACTCGGCACCCAATCAAGCTCCGGCGCCAAAATTTTGCGGGTGGGTTCCCCGGCCAAGTGCCACCCTAGAACCGCGCCACCAATCCTCAAGCACGCCCCGCGTACGAGTGCCTCAAAGTTTTGGCGGGAAAATCGCTAACTAGGCGACCAGAAAAACTAGAAAGCTGAAATTTTGGGACTATATTCCCCGTCCATATAGAACTCAAAGATTTTAAATTCAGCCCCAGGGCGTGCACGTTTCCCCCATACGGCCCCCTGAGGGTTCCTGGCGCGAAAATCGCTAGCTCGGGAACCAAGAAAGCTGGGAGGCTGAAACTTTCAGGAAACGTGCGCAGCTCATCTACAACTTAAATTTGTCAAATTCGGCCCCCGTTATGCGTGGTTAACAAGTACGGCCCCATGAAATTTTCTAGCTGGAATTTGGGTAACTCGGGAACTGGGAAAGCTGAAGACCTGGGATTTTGAGGGAATGTTCCCTGTCCAAGTACAGCGTGAATAATTATTAATTTTCCGAAATTCGAGGACCAGTATGTACAAGAGACTTCTAGCTAGCGGAATTTCGAGTAATCTTATTACGGCATGAAACACTGCAAAAACGCATTATTGCACGGGCCCGCCCACTGCGTGTCGCCAATGA